CATCTGGAACTTGAGCCTGTCTTCTAGGGTGTTGGCTATTCCTGCCAGCTTAGCATCCCCTGCACACTTGGTGAGTTCCCCTTCTCTTCCCTCATCTAAGTCTAGTTTAGGAAGATACTGAAGAGCACTGGGCCCAAGGGAGAACCTTGTGGTGCCCCACTGCTTACTTCCCTCCCTTTTAAGATTGTGGATCCTCACTTTTAACTTTAAGCGTTGTGACTGCTGAATGATGAGCAGTTGGGAGAGTCTTACAATGTTGACCCTGGGCTCTTTCAAAGCCAACCGAAACCTGTTTTCCGTCCCAACAGATGCCAATTCACCAGAACCTGAAGGAACTCCTCGCCATCCGAACCGAACTTCAAAAGAGGGTGGAAGAACTCCAGCGGGAAGCCGCCAAGCGCTCCATTTCGTCTTCCTCCGAGCGGGGCTCCTCTCCCGCCATCACCCCCGTCCACACTTCCGTCTGACCGACCAGCGAGGCCCCGCGAGGTTTACTACAGACACGTTATCTGCTGCCAGAAACCCTCCCTCCCTCCCTCCGGTGTTATTTGGGCTGGAGGGTAAAGTGGGGGGGGGAGGCCTCCCCCCCTTTCCCTCGGTGTCTGTTACAGTAAAGCCAAAAGTATTTCCTTGCAGTATCGCGCTGTGGAGTGGGTGGTTGCTCATTTCTTTCCTATCTGTCTTTGAAAAAAAAAAAACCGTGAGCGTTGAGTCGGTAGCCAAACTCTTTTTAACTCCTTGCTAAAACTTGCAGCAAAAGCAGGAAATCTGTTGCTGGGGGAAGCAATTGGGGAGGCCGTATTCCACCATCGCCTCCTGCCTCCTTGACAAATCTTCTCCAGTTAGCTTCATGTCCGAGAAGGGAAACCTCCTTCGCTTCCCTTGGTACTTCCTCCGGGGTGGGGTGGGGGTTCTTGGAGAAGGGGAAAGGAAGCCACAGCCAACACTGTATTTTTGGGGACAGTTCCGATGACTTTGATGCACTTTGAAATGGATTTGGTTTTTTTTAATTATTATTCCTATAGGAGTTGTATATTTTGAATAAAGACGTTTTAAAAAGCCTCTCTCCTTTCTGTCTCTCTCTCTCTCTCATATTCTGTTCTCTTTCTATATTTATTCCTATATTTTTATTCTATTCTGTTGTGTTTTATTCTTATTCTGTATTCTATTCTATTTCTAGGGAATTACCCTCACTCGCTCTGTAAATGTACGTAGTGAAATGGCCCTCCCCATTTAAACTGGCACAGAAATCTCATCTTTGCCCCCGGAAGGATGTTTAACTTTCTCTGATGCCTTTTATACCAGTCCTGGGGGGTGGGGTGGTGGAAGGAGAGGACAATAGACTAGCCCCCCTCCCCAGAGGTGAGCCTTGTGTGTGTGGAGGGGGAGAGGGGTCGGTGGCAGCCAATTTATCCTCCTGGCTTTCAGTATTCAGGACCACGCATGAACATCACACCCACCAAGGGATTCCTCCAACCCCCCACCCCTCCACCTGGTGGTAGGTCGTTCCGCTGGTTATTTTTCTCCCTGTCAGGAAATTTGTGATACACAATAGTTGTCGTGACAGCATACAAACACGGTGTGTGTGTCCCCCTTCCTCGCAAAACGTTTCCCCCGTCCTCTTATTACGACAGTGTCCTTTTGACACGGAAGTAGAGTTTTGCAGCCAAGGGAATACCAGGCAGTCCTCGACTTACAGCCATAATCGAGCCCGGATATTCTTTTGCTAAGCGAGACGGTGGTTGAGTTTTGCCTCCTTCAACGGCCTTCCTTGCCATGGTTGTTAAGTGAATCACTGCCGTTTGTTAAGTCGGTCACACGGTTTATTAAGCGAACCTGCCTTGTCCATCGATTTTGCTTGCCAGAAGGGGAATCACGTAACCCTGGGACGCTGCACCCGTCGTAAACGTGAGCCACTTATCAAATACGGAATCTATTTTACCCGTGGTTGGAACAAAGGGGTGGAGATTAAGAATGTAAATTTGTATCATTAAGCCAATGAAATACCCAGGCCACCCGATGTTTAATAAGCACTAAGAAGTGTATTTAATAGAAAAATCAATGAAATATAAAAATAAACACGGGCCAGTTGCCAAGCCTCCAAATTTTGATCCCCCAACTGCGGGAGAGCCTGCAATGTTTGTTACGTGTGAAAAACAGTTCCCGAGTCACTTTTTTTCAGTGCCGGTCTAACTTTGGTCACTAAACGAACTGTCGTAAGTCGAGAACTCCCTGCATCTCTTAAGAGTGTAAGAATCTATATATATAAAAGGCAAATACCACTCACTCATCACGAAATCTCCAGAACTGTAAAACCTACAAACTTGAAATTTGACACGTTATGTTTCTCTTGGCTTCTAGGTGCTCGTTAAGAAAAGATTTCTCAAAATGATCATCAGATCAACAGTATTTTAAATACAGTATTATATTAACACGCGTCGATGCTAAGGAGTTAGACGTTCTACTCCCCCCCCTCCCCACCTGAAAAGAACTCTGTTCCACCTGCCAGTTGCCTTATATATGGGTGTGGTCAATGTGACTCATTCGGTCTGTGGGCTGGCCCCATCCAGCTAGTGTGCGTGTGTGTGTGTGTGAATATAGATGGATGGATATAGATATAGATATATATTTCCTTGCATGAGGAAAGCAGGCTGTGCATTGGCGAAATGAACCCAGAGAGATGACACAAAGAGACAATTTTTGTTTACAAGTCATTTTTTCCCCATTTATTTTAGTTTTTCTTTTCCAGTTTGTCCTTCAGCATTCAAGTTCGGATAGCCATCCCCCATAATAATTCTTATATGCACTTTAGCAAAATGAGTCTGCCTTTTTTTCTTTTCTTTTTTTTAGACAATACAGCCCGCCATTTTCACCTGGGGCAGAGATCCTTTCTGTATTAGCCAACTGTATGTATGTATTGCTTTAAAAATAAAAAAGCTTTCGCTTCTTTGGATATGCCATCTCCTCTTTGAATCGGTCGTCTCTTGAACTCATCTCTTCCTTTTTTTTTTCCCCTTTCCCATTTTCCCTCTCTCCTTTTCTTCTAGCTTTTCTGCTTCTTCGGGTCCATCCTTTCGGATGAACGCTACTTCCTACCGCAGCAGAGACTTGGACAACGAGCGAACCGTTTCCCGCCGGTTGTATGGAAAAGCAACAACCGACACCGGTCCGTGTTTGCCGCAAAAAAAGAAAGAAAAGACATCCCAAACGAGGAGGAGAGAAAGGTAAAAAAATCTAAGCCAGTTCTTTTAAAAAAGTAGAAGTGGCTAAAGTCCCTCCTACGTTTTCTCCTAACAGGAAACTGTTTTCTTCTCTTAATTAAGATGTCTCGTTTTAACTTCCAAGAACACGTGTTGCATATAAATTCAGGGCACGATATGTGGTCTCTACATATATATATATACATCTTTGGCCTGGTGGAAGACTTCAAACGCCTGTTATTTGTCCTGCTCTCAACATCTGGCTACGGTGACGTGATGCGACCTTTCAGCTCGCGGATCGTTTTAATTACCAATGTAAAAAAAAGCAGAGTAGAAAAACGGAAATGGACACGCACACACTCCTGCTTTCCCCGGAGGTGCGGAACAACACAGCTGGCACTGCTACCGAGAAGTTAGCCAGGATAAAAGCCAAACATACTGTTGGTTGAAAATACAGACAACGGACAGAATTCCCCAGCGGGGGAAAGAGATTCGAAGTTCTGTGAAGGAGCGCATGGGGGTGGTTTTTTTGCATGCAAAAGACCCTTCAGGGTTGATTCCCTGGAATCTCTCAACTTTCCCAAGAACGGCCCGCAACAGGTCAATGCAATCGTCTTGTTGCGCAAAATCTCAGGCTCAATTGTACAATCTTCAACATGGGGATTTTCCTATGTTCCAACCTTGGGTGTTTTAAGGGCAACAGAGTTGGGACAGGGAAACAATTTGCCACGGCCAACCCATCATGGTCAACGCCCCAAGGGGACAATTCAACCAATGAAAAAAGTTGCATTTCGACAGAACATGCGCGCGCCGCAAACCAGAAGTTCATTTTCTGGCATGCCCTTGCCCCTTTGGCTGCTCTTCCTCCTGGTCGCGGCTGAGATGGGGCCTCACGCGCATACTCATTGTGTGCACACACACAAAGTGCTCCCTTTTTGGCACTCGGTGCCAAAAAGGCTCGCCATCCCTGGCCTAGGCCCTGCTGGTGGATCTCTCCTGCTCCCTAGTAGGACTTCTGGAGGTCTGAAGGGCAACCTGGCAGGGCCTTCCTCCTACGCCTTGGAGGCCTGGAGACAGGAGCCCCATGGAGACTTTTGCCTGGCCCATGGCTGCTCAGGGAAAGGACTAAATCAGAACTTCACTCCTGACTTCTAGGGAAGACGACGCTGTTAATCGGGGTCTGGGGAGGCAATAACAGTCACTGTTGCTCTTTGTACCTGACGTTGAGTTGTATTCTACAAAGACCTCCCTTCCGCTGGACTATCTAAGATTTACATTAAGGCATAACCATTTACCAAATCCATACAAAAAGACTCTGGGGAGAGGAAGAACCTCACAGGTTGATCAACTGCCACATCTTGAAACCCTGGTAGCTGGGTTTTTTTTTCCCCTTTCCTTAACGTAACACTCGGGACAATATTTTAATTATTATTAAATTTTTCTTTTGTTCGTAGGATCTGCAATACATCACTTTTCTTCCCCCAAACATCGATGTGGGTAGTAGCAAAACTGTTCCGAGGCACAGTATTTCAAGATGTAGATCAGTGGCAGGACAGTAATAGAAAGACAACGAAACAGACAATTTTACACCTACGATAAACGTTTCTCCGTAATTGGCCAAAAAGAAAGAAAAGAAAAGAATATTTCCATCTAGGTGAGAAAAAATGATTTCTAGTCCAAGTACAGCCACCATTTCCCCACTATTTTATCTAAAGATGCATTACTATAACCCTAGTCTAATGTTTGATGTACTTGACTTTCTTTAAAAAGAGAGACGGTTGTCGGAAGGAGGCCGTGATGTAGATTCCTCCGTGTGGTTGAGTTCACCTTGGATTTCTCTGCTCTGCAAAATTTAGGCCACCTCAAAAATGGGAAACCTTCACGATTATTTTCCTAAGTAGCTTTTTGGTCAAACTGCGAGTCCTTCATAGGAGAATCCCTCCAAAGAGAAGTCATCTCAGCGGCTTCCTTAAATAAGCTGCAGTCCTCCTCCGATTGCCCCGTGTTGGCCTTCCAAGTCCTAATTTTAAGTCTCAAAAGACAATAAAATTAGAAGATGGGGGAGATGGGGGGGGTGAGATAAGAGACTTTAGTACATCCAAAATATACATATTTCATTAAAGGTCATCATATTTGTGGACTGCAGATTATGAAGCCTAACCAAAGCAGAAGGAATTCCCACCAACATCTGGGCTGGCATTTTGACACTCCGCTGAAATCCATGGGAGTCACCCCCATCATGGATGAAGATGGGGGTCTCAGGGTAACATTTCCTTAAGCCCCTATAGATAACAGCTGGAAGTGCTCCTGGCATTAAGAGACCCATCCAGAAATTTCCTCAACACACAGCAACATCTGCAGAAGGTTCAACAGGCCTCAATCCAACAAAGTCTTTGCTCTGGTAGGTCCACGAAATGTGGTCAAAAAACGTAGGTATGGAAGGCACGCCAGCACATTTGAAGTTCTGTCCATTCTTTTAAGCACCGTGACCATCACCTGGGCTTTTCTTGACCACACCCTGTGGCTCTCCTCTAGCTCCGATGGTTCCCGTACTGAAACCCTACCAGAAAAGTCCCCCTACAAACATCACACAGGATTTGTTTGTAAATGAAATCTGAAATTAGGTATTTCACCCACAATTTTTCCAACCCCCCTCCCACAACACCGTGTAATACATATCATGGACCGATACATGCACTAAAGAGATATTTTTTTAAAAAACAAACAAACCCTAATCTTGCATGTGAAAATGTACACTTTGCTACAATGGTGAAATGCACGGCTAACAGGACTGAGGTCGAGAAAGACCAACGTGGGCCAACATTCAAGTTCATTTCTCGCTCAGCTCCACAGGAGAGGGCT